ATCATTACACAATGTCGTAGTCCAAAATATTTGACAAGGCTCACCATTTTAACAATACAAATGCAAATTTCTCATAAGGAGGAAAATCATTGGAAAGAGAAATTTCAGTATAACAAAGAAAATAATAATAAAGAAATGACAGGGAAATTTTTTCTGATTATTATTACAGCCAGGAATAACTACCATAACAAAATATACATTTTTCAATATCAGAAAATATACACACACAGAAGCATACTTTGTACAGCCCACAGAAACACTAATATAAAGTAAAACAAGCATAGAAAATATATCATAAAAGAAATTAAACAGAAATTTGCATAATATAATTAAAAAACTTACTCCAAGGGAACTCCTTGTTACGGATGTGCAAGTATGGGTATGACTGCACACAAAATGAGAATGATCAACCCATTTCTAAATTATTCAAACCCCATAAATTCAGTATTAAGTTAAATTTAGATTCCATGTACTAAAACAATAAACAATGTAAAACCCGGTTTTCAATCAAATAAAATAAAGAAAGGTATAAAGAAACTTACAGGAGGCTCTTCATGGTGAGGATGACCCTTGGAAAGGTTAATGACTGCAAGAATAGTGCAAGTTGCTATACCTAGATATGTTATTTTCTCTCACTTCGAAGCCTCGGCTACATTAACACGAGCACCAAAACATTTTAAAAATAATTAACATATACCTAAAATCAGGAAAATCAATTTTCTATCGCATCCAGTAGGTAGTAGTTTAATCGCCAATACAATCATAAAAAACAATCCTTTAAACTGCGTACAGACTATGTAAATTTGAAATGAAATGTAATGATAACCTAGACAGGGAATACCCGAAAAATTCTAAAATAATTTAAAATAATAAAATCTTGAAAATCAATTTTCAATCTCATCCGTCATAACTGGAATGCTATTTCAATTTATTAATACCAGCTTCATCGTGAAGAGGCACTAGAGTCTGAAAAACACCACTCCGACGTGACGGCGTCGGCTTGAAAAACAATTGATTGGTAGATTCTTGGAGTTGGAGAGTGAATGGTTTTTGAGATTGAGAGTGGGAAGGAGAGGGTTCGTGTGATTGATTCGGACCATTCGGTGAGTGTTCAGTATATTATAATTGGGCCTCCAGAGTTGGGCCTATTCTGAAATTAAAAAAAAAAAAATTTAGGCCAGAAAATGAGGCCCCCTCCACGTTTGGGCCTGAGGCGGCGGTCTCATTCTCCTCGCCTCAGGACCAGGCCTGTCTAATGGGGACCATTTCACACCCATTTATAGGGTGGGAGAGCACACCGGTGGTTGACTTCAGTCTTGTCAACTAAAGTACCATCCTAGAGATGCGTGCCATGTATCCAATTTTAGGATGTTTTGATTGGTTGTTAAGATTGGCATGTCAGTCCATTATAATGAAAATATCCTGTTGAAATTGTATAGTAATGATGAGCTGACGTCATGTAATCATTGCAAATTGAGAACATCTATGTGTCATTATTTGATTGGTGAGGGGTGGGATTTGTCACTGTAGAAGAGTGATTTAGTCATCATCATGTTTCCATTAATTACAGCGACCCTGAGTTGATCTTGTAATCGAGCTGATCTCATAAGTGTCCCTTATCCGACCTTCATTTTTGTAGAGCAAGAGGTGAAAACAACCATTTAGGACAAGGTCATATTTCGAATGTCAACAACTACTAAAAATGAAACCAAATCCATGACAACCGGCATCTAACAATGCAAAGCTTAGCCTAGCACAAAAACCAAAATAATTAAAGATTCAAACAATGTAAAGTTCCTGATAAAAAGTTCTCTGACCATAAAACAAGTATGAAGCATAGATCAAATAAAATTCAATAAAACATAATTCAATGAAACAACAACATTCAATATTTTTCTTCGAAATCTACGCGTGCATTTGATTTTCTATTTTTAAGTTGTTTTCAATTTTCAGATTTGTTAAATACCAAAATTTGTTTGGACATGTATTTTTTAAAAAGCATTTTCGTAAACAATGTTAAACTTAAAACGCAAAACTAAAATTATTTTTTGATGTTTTAAATGTTTTCAGTGAGAATGCTAAAAAAACTCAAAACATGAAAAATAAGCATTTAAATAAAATTCTAAGAAAAAATCTTTATTTTTTGGGAAGTCAATTTATTATCTATTTTATTTTCCTTTTGTATTGAAAAAAAATATTGTAAGATTCGCAAATTTTGAAATGTATATTTTACTTGATAATATATTAACATAAAATTATTATATTGAGTAATCAAATTAATGGAATAAAATGTTACAATTTTCTCAATATTCCAATCCAAATGCATTTTTCAATTTATTGTTTTGAGAAACATTTTTCAAAATAATAAATCCAACGTATTTTCTAAAATCTTAAAACAAACCTTCAGAATAGAAACTAAAAATGAATTCAAAATTGAAAACTGAAAATATAAATTAAATGGGCCCCGCATTATTTGAAACAACATTTTGTCCCAAAATCACATTATCCAATTAAGTTAAAGTGAAGCATATTAAATATGGGTATTGATGATACCAAAAAGCGTCATATATTGATTGTCGAGCTTAACGATTGAGGTATAGATAGTATTCAGCTCCTAGGCCAACAAAAGAAGGTCATGTTTGTAGTTAATCTGTCTACTGACGAAATAAATATGTTTTGTTCTTGTTGCCCATTTTTTCGTACTTCGTCTTGTACATGTTTGAATATGTTAGATATTTTTCATCATTTTGCATGTATTATCTTTTGTTTTGCGAATGTTTTGCCGCTCCGACTAGTGTTTGCCGCTACGCAACGGGGATCGACCTGTTCAAAAGGTTGAATAGGTATGTTTCTTTCAGAAGTTTTTGAATTTTATAAAGAGAATTTTATTTTCAGAAGTTTTTGAATAGGTATGTTTCTTTCCAACAGATGCGTCCATTCGTTTCAAGGGACACACCTATTCAAAAGGTTGCCTCCATTTCTATATATTCTGGGCGAATTCTCATTTGCGAGACACTTTTAAAAAATTTCTATTCTTCTATCTTTCTCTTGGCATCATCAGTTTCTCTATAGAGTGTTTCTTGGTTTGATCAAATAGTCACAATTTGAATCAAACGCCTCCATTGTATCCTGAGAGAGATTTTCTATCATACCCCGGTCGTGACTTTGTTGGAAAGGGGAGAAACATCTCTTAAAAGATAACGATTTTCGTGCCTTGGAGTTGTTTATTGTTCCAGATTTCCTACATATTTCCCAACATAATATTCTGCATTTGGTAGGATTATTCCAACTATTTGTTTAAGAAATCTGTAATTCCTAAGTGGATGCTCTCTCTCTCTCTCTCTACCAGTCTTTGCGCAGGAGCTGAATATTTGTTTCAAATAGTGCATGAAGCCATTCCACAATTCTATTTTGAACTCGATCACTCCATCTCGGCTGCGGAAGTTTCTGTTCACATTATTAACCATCTCTATGCGAAGATTAATGAAGTTTGTCTCCTGCAAGGGGGTGAGGTTGAAATCTACAGTTGCTTTAGATGTTGTGCTTATTTTATTTATATTTGATCAAAACGTTTAGATCAGAACTATACGTTGTTTTCAAGAGGATGAATATAGGATGCTACTTTATATACTTGTGGGTAGTCTTTTGCCTTACATTGGGGCTCTTGATTCATGGCTTTTTGAAGGAACTCTTGATGACAAGGCATAACAACTAATATAGCACTCAAATCACAAAAGTCAAGATGGAAAAATGTGTCATCCAGTTGATTCATTAGCTTGGGAGAGAATTGATCAAAAATGGCCTTGTTTTGCATCAGAACCATGAAATCTTAAGCTTGGCCTTTCTTCAGATGGATTTAATCCCTTTGGTGACCTAAGTTCTAGGTATAGTTGTTGGCCGGTGATACTAGTTATATATAATCTCCCACCTTGGATATGCATGTCTAAAGAAAATTTGTTGTT